ATTTAGACATTGAGTGGTACTGCTTGCGGTTCCTAAAGCTCACTTCCCTGTGCCTGAGGAGTCTGATTGTCACATGGTTTCAAACAATGACCCCCAGCATACAAGGAAACTGAATATACTGGTAGAATGCCACCTTCAATTCCCTCCACTAGTTTGTGGATATATTGCAGCACAAGGTCAAGCATAACAATAAAACTAAAGAATGAATATAGGTGGCACCAGACAACAAAATTTTAGTAAATAATAATATAGACCCAAATTAATAAACCAGCTGATCTATCCTTTGTAAAGGTGCATACTAATGTGAAAAAATGTTGGTGTCGGTTTTAAGTGCGTTTTTTTTTTGTCATTCTTAAAAGTGTTTTTAAGAAGTACTGCACCATGAGCTTCTCTTTTATATTCCGAGTGGCCATTCCAATACCTCTTAAAACAAGATGGGATGTAAATAAAGTGGATCTTCAGTCTCCTGCAGAGTATTGCTCTAGGAAATCTCTTCCAAGCCTGAGCTGTGTCTCAACTGTTTGCAGATTGTTGCTCCCAGAGCAAAAAAGCGCTTATTATTATTATTATTATTATACAGTATTTATATAGCACCAAAGGGTATGCTCAGCGCTGTACAGTAGCAAGGGGGACAGAACATGAGACAAGGCAGAAACAATACAATACATGAGGGGTTCAAGGGCCCTGCTCTTTCGAGCTTACAATCTAGGAGGGAGGGGAAGGTGGCACAGGAGGAGATGGCTGTGGGGGATGGAGTGGTGGGAGGAGTGGAGGAGGTTAGTTGTTAGGTGAGCTTGGGGTAGGCTTCCCTGAAGAGGGTTTTCAGGGTGCGCCTGAAGGTGAGGAGGGTAGGTGACAGTCTGATGGATTGGGGTAGGGAGTTCCAGAGGATGGGGGAAGTCCTGGAAAAGTCCTGCAATCAGGCGTGGGAGGAGACCAGGGAGCTAGAGTAGGAGGTCCTGTGAGGAGCGGAGGGCACGGGTAGGGTAGTATTTGGGTATCGGGTCAGTTATGTAGTTTGGGGCAGCATTGTGAATGGTTTTGTATGTCAGAGTTAGTAGTTTGAATTTGATGCGTTGGGCAATCAGGAGCCAATGAAGGGATTGGCAGAGGGGGAGGCAGATGTGGAGCGGTTGGTGAGGTGGATGAGTCTGGCCGCTGAGTTCAGGATCGACTGGAGTGGGGATAGCGTTTGTTTGGGTAGGCCGGTGAGGAGGGAGTTGCAATAGTCTAGGTGTGAGATGATGAGGGAGTGTACAAGTTGTTTGGTGGTGTCTGGGGTGAGGAATGTGCGTATCTTGGAGATGTTGCGGAGGTAGAGCCTGCAAGATCTAGATAGCAGTTGGCTGTGGGGTAGGAAGGAGAGGTGGGAGTCCAGGGTGACACCCAGGACTTTGGTGTGCGGCGTGGGAGAGATGGTGGTGGTGTTAGTAGTGATTGAGAGGATTGGGGGGGGGGCACGGGGTGGGGGGAAGACCAGGAGCTCGGTTTTGGATAGGTTAAGTTTGAGGAAATGGAGCGACATCCAATCTGATATGTCGTTTAGGAGGTGGGCGATGCGGGCAGAGAGTGAGGTGGGGGGTGGAGAGGTAAATTTGTGTGTCGTCGTCATAGAGGTGGTAATTGAAGCCGTGGGAGTGAATACGTTTGCCAAGGGAGGAGGTATAGATGGAGAAGAGGAGGGGCCCGAGGACAGAGCCTTGGGGGACCCCGACAGAGAGGGGGAGGGAAGGGGAGGTGGCAGTGTTGTAGGTGACGCTGAAGGAGCGTTGGGAAAGGTAGGAGGAGAACCAGGAGAGAGCAGCGTCCTTGATGCCAAGGGAGTGTAGTTTGGCAAGGAGAAGAGGGTGGTCAACAGTGTTGAAGGCAGCAGAGAGGTCGAGGAGCAGAAGGATAGAATAGTGGCCATTGGCTTTGGCGGTTAGCAGGTCGTTGGTGATTTTAAGTAGGGCGGTTTCGGTGGAGTGTAGGGGACGGAAGCCAGACTGTAGGGGGTCAAGGAGGTTATCAGTGAGGTGGGTGCTTAGGTGATTGTCGGCCAGGCGCTTAAGGAGCTTATGCTGGTTTATAATATAATCAGCATATTGCTCTGGCGAGTTTATTCAGTTCATTTGGTGTTGGATTCACTTGGTGGATTTTATTCAAACTGATTTTTTTGCATCTTTATTTTTTTCACTATCACATATATATTTTTGGGGGGGACTTTAAAATATTTATTTATATTTTGGGACTTACATTTGTTCATTGATTTAAAATTTTCATGTGTTAATGCTATGGTATATACTGGATCTGTTACTAGCGCAGTCTTATTTTTTCACAAGGTCAAGAATGGCATCAATGATGTGCATAAACACCCTGGACATGGTTATTTGGCTGAGGCCACAGATAATGCCATAGGAGGTTTGGAAGGAGCCATGCCCCAAGATCTACAGGGTAGCAAGAAAACCTCACCATAAGATAACAGGCTGGATACATCCCAAGTCTTTGCTTGTTAGACCTGTTATTGGGTTCACTTGGGTGCTGATTCAGAGAATTGCATTGGCTAGGTGGCAACAGCTCTAGCCTTTTAGATACGGTCCAATATTATAATTTTTAATCAGTTTTTGGAGGTCTCGCTGATCAACTTGCTTTTCTGTTACCTGGTTTGTGTTTTTGCGTACCAGTCACCAGATACTGTATAGTGAGAGTGTTACAGACTTCCAACTGTCATTTAACATCAGAAACATTGGATTCTAAAGTGAACATTATGAACTATATTCTAGTTATGGTGGTAGAGGTGTGTGGATATTGCACTGGTGAGGTTTTGACTACTCCACGACAGTGCTGCCTGAATCATCCCAACATATTTTACTTTGTGGGGAGTACACCACCCTAAAAAGTGAGAAGGAAGCCCATTTCAGAGTTGGTGAAAGAAGCATGTCTAGGCTATTTTGGTGTCAAGGTTGGAGATGAAGATAAGCCATGGGCTCCTTATATTGTATGGAGAACTTGTATGAAACATTTGTGGCGGTGGACAGACCTGGAACTTTATACAGGATTCTATCGGCAGATCCCACTCTCGGAAGTCCTACAATAGGCACTTCTTCTGTGTGGAATGATTGGAGCATTGTAGGAGGCTCTTCATAGCTATGCCCTGTTACGTTCATAAATTGGAGTGTGGGCACAACATACGCTCCCAAAGGCACTCTGTGTTTGTAGACCTGTGCCATGTTCATGCTCCAGTTCATTGTGTACAGCCATCTGCAACCTTCCATGTCTATGGATGAGAGTACACAACACAAAGAGCTCCTGGACACTACAACAGGCTACTGAGAATGCACTGTACAGGAGAACACGACTGTGTGCATGAGCCCCTATTATGTAGAATAGTAACGGTTGGATGGGTTGTAGTACAGAGTCAGGCAGATGTCAAGGCCTTGTGTATATTATGCCATAGACAGGTTCCAGGAGCTGTAAACCCAAGTATGCAGATTGGGAAAGTCAGAGACACAACAAAGGTCCTCATCTATAGTAGATACTTGTTCCAGCTCTCCTGGTGCTTCTCATGTTTCCCTCTTCTATGTAGTACTAGGAAGAAAGGGGGTTGTTCTTATTGTGAGGGTCCCCAACAAGCTAAAAATGGCCCCATGATAAAAAGAAACTTCCCACCCCAATAGAGCCCACTACCACCCCCTAGGAGGTCAGAAAAAAACCTGCAAGTGATGCTCAAAACTTCATGTAGAAGAGAAGAGTCTCACCTCCGGTGACGTTGAGTGTCCTGCGTACCGAGGTTGGAGATGTCAGTGCCGGGTGTTTTTACATGGACAGATATTCCACTCCATTATGTAGGACATAGCTTGGAGTTATATGGAGAGAAACACTGACAGTTGCATGATCCAAGCAGCTTCTTCCTGATAATAGGATCTATCTCCAGCTCTAGAGGTCTGTCCTCGTGTCTTGCAGAGCCGTTCATCAGTTGTCTGCCCTCCTCCATATCTATAACATCTTCATCCTCTCCTCCATCATCTCTGCTTATCCTGATCGGAGCGGGGTGACCTCCAGGTGTAGATGGTCCTCTTCTCCTCATACGCACAAAGATTCTATGTCGTTGAGTTTGAAGTCCATAGTCTGACTAGTCGTTCTGTTCATGTCAATTAGCTCATTGTTTCCGGTGATCTCAGAGAGTGGGAGGATCTGGAAGAGGAAATCATCGTATGGCTTATTCAGATTTACTATGTGATGTACTTGTGTTATCCGGACATCAGATTCATCTCTTCTCTAATAGCAAATATACGTGAGAAGGCCTAAGCTGGCCATAGACGATTGGAATCTCAGCAGGAATCGAACCAAGTATGGGCAGGCTCAATGTATCCAAGTTGATCGATCATCGATAACATTGATAATATTGTTAACATTGCTAATACTGATAAAATTGCTAAGTTGATAAAAATGTATTTAAAAAATTTATAAAATTGATAACGTTGATATTACTGATAATGATAACATTGATAATGCCGATAAACATTGATTACATTGGTAATGTTGATAACATTGATAAGGAATCATCTGATTCTAATCACCAGCAGTTATCTGTAATTACAGTGAATGGGGCCGGTGGCCGCACCTAGCCGCTCACAACCTCAGTAGGATTGAGAAGATTCTACAATCTGCACCGGCCTAAACCACCAACTCACCCGTGTGGTCGTGGCCAAACGGTTGTGTGATGAAAAGACATTTTATTGCTTGATAAGCAGAACTAAATCTTTTTTTTAGTTCCTTTTTTGGTTTTTATGAGCAGGGCCCTCAATCCTCTTGTTTTGATGGTCTTATAGCTGTACTGTTGGCACTCTATGTATAATGCATTGAATGTGACCTGTGTGGTCACTATGGACCCTAGGGAGGTCATTCGCTCACAGGAAGCCTCCACATATCAGAGGGACGTCTGGTCCCCACATACAGTATATATACAATGTTCATTTCTGTATTTTTCCCTAGTGCCATCAGTGCAATGTATGGTATGAATGATAACCTGGGAGCAGGGGTGGACTGACAATTCATGGGGCCCCTGGGCAATAGGGGATCATGGGGCCCTTGTGTCCTTACCCACACTTAAAAAAAGCCTATGAAAAAGCCAATGAAGGGTACCAGGGGCATCTCATGGGGCCTCCTACTGACTCCGGGCCCTCGGGCAGTGCCTGAGTGCTCGAATGGTCAGTCTGCCCCTGCCTGGAAGCTTTATACTTCTCATTCTTTTGTACATATGTTCTTTTCAATAAAAAGATTGGAATATAATGAATCCTCTAGAATAACTGTTGACTCCTTACCTTTCTTTACAAATCTGAAGTAGAGAGAACCCAAAAAAAAAAACCCAGATGTCCTACAAACAGAATTGTCAGGACCACAGCGATGGCAATGGCTCCGGAGTTCTCTTCTCTGCAGATAAGGATAAAGGACAAATCACAATCTGGATGTAGAATCCACATAGGAGAACTTTGGTTTGTTTTTAGGGCAACACAGTTTGTTTTACACACACAGGAGAACCTGGAGTCTAATATGGAGAAGGAGAACCCATACAGTAAGGCAGACCATACATGAGTCAATTTAATTCAACCCACTGGACATTCAAGGTGGATGGGGGAATCCTCCCAGCTGAGCTATTGTATTCTGATGGCAGGGAGACTTGCATTTGATCAGCAGTGCCCCCTATAGCCTGTAGCGCTGACTGAGCGAAGACCAGTCAGCGCAACCAAGTGGTTGTACAGAAGTCAGTCGGTGAATCAACTTCTGTACAACCTCCTGCCCATACATGGATCACAATTTAGTCACTTCCTGCTGAAGCAGCTGAATTCTAATCCATGTGTGGCTGACATAGGTACAGAACCCACACAGCAACAAAATGTATGTCAGGATGATATTAAAGGTATGGTACTATTACCGCGTCCTCCTACAGGTGGACCTCCATGGAGTGCTGTACTGCCCGGATCTCACCTGCTGAGCTGTGATGGATGTGATGTCTCTCTAGATCAGTGGTTCTCAACCTTTCTAGCGCCGCGACCCCTTAATACAGTTCCTCATGTTGTGGTGACCCCCAACCATAAAATTATTTTCGTTGCTACTTCATAACTGTACTTTTGCAGTAGGAGGAATAGTGCCACGTCATTGGTGTCATTGGGAGGAATAGTGCCCCATCATTGGTATCAGTGGGAGGAATAGTGCCCCGTCATTGGTGTCAGTGGGAGGAATAGTGCCCCCGTCATTGGTGTCAGTGGGAGGAATAGTGCCCCGTCATTGGTGTCAGTGGGAGGAATAGTGCCCCGTCATTGGTGTCAGTGGGGGAGGAATAGTGCCCCGTCATTGGTGTCAGTGGGGGGAGGAATAGTGCCCCGTCATTGGTGTCAGTGGGGGGAGGAATAGTGCCCCGTCATTGGTGTCAGTGGGGGGAGGAATAGTGCCCCGTCCTTGGTGTCAGTGGGGGGAGGAATAGTGCCCCATCCTTGGTGTCAGTGGGGGGAGGAATGGTGTCATTGGGGGAGGAATAGTGCCCCATCCTTGGTGTCAGTGGGAGGAATAGTGTCCCATCGTTGGTGTCAGTGGGAGGAATAGTGCCCCATCATTGGTATTAGTGACACCAATGATGGGGCACTATTCCCACTGACACCAATGATACTTACCTTGCAGACCCCTGCTCCAGCCTGGGCTCGCTCGCTCCCTCCCTCTCCCATGGTACCGACACTTACCTGTCAGATGTCTTCCTTCTCCGGCCGCTCTCCTCCTCTTCACTCGCTCGATCTTCGCGGTGCCGCTCGGCTCCTCCTCTCCAAGCTCCACCTCCTTGCCGGTGATTGGCCGCCTGTGTGCCTCTCCTGAGCTACAGTGCCGGCGGCCAATCACAGGCGAGGATTGATCTCGAGGTGTGTCCAGATGACAGGGGCGGCATGTCATCCCGCCCACACCTGAGACGGCGGTGGCGGCGGCGAGGAGAGGTGTCTCGGTTCCTAAGACCATCGGAAATATGTGTTTTCCGATGGTGTTAGGCGACCCCTGTGGAAGCGTCGTTCGACCCCCAGGTTGAGAACCGCTGCTCTAGATAGTCAGCAGTGCAGCCTAAAGGAACGTGACCCAAAATCGGCAAATAACTAAGATGTGACTGTTGGTGTGATACAATGTCTGTATTTACTCCAGTTCTCTTCTTCCTAGAATAGACACCATTTTCAGGATGATATTTGGATTTGGACATGGATCTTCAGAGCCCGAGCTAATACTGATAAAAAATGTATAATATTAATAGCATGGGCAATGAACTTGACTGAGCATATATAGACACTGCAATCCAATCCAATCTCTCCGGAGATATGAGCCCGAGCTTAAGTACCCAGAAGTCACTTATTAATTTTATGATTTAACCTCCCTGGCAGTATTCCTGAGTGTAGCTCGGGGTAAAATTTCAGTACCAAAAGCGGTAACCGCCCCCGAGCTACACTCGGGCTTACCATGCGGCCTTGCATAGGGAGTCCCTGCAGCACTTACCTTGTCCTTCGCTCCCACGATGTGTCCCCTGCAGCGTCCCCGGCCATCTCCTCCGGTCGATGCCAGCATCCGCCTCCTGTGTTCCGGTCCCTGTGATGTCGGGACGTACGGACGCCACCGGCGGCGGGAAATTTGAAATTTAAAAAAAGTCATTTTTTTCAAAACGATTTTACATAGTAAAACATTGCTGTTTCAACCCATTTCACATACATTTTGTCCCTACTGCTTTGTCCTGTCCCCTGTCTGCATTTTGATTGTTTTTTTCTGCCTGGAAACTTAGAAAAGTCCATGGCGTCCAAAAAGTGTCCCTTTAGGTCAGACGCGGTTTAGATCAGCTAGAGAACAGCGATAGTAAATCAGAACCACTTGCAGAATTGAGTGATAATGAATCGTGGGGGAAATTCGTCATCAGACACTAAAAACAAATTTGTGACTTTGCTCAGCGATGTGCGAACTTGGCGCTATATTTCACATTTCAGTGTTTTTGGTTTGATTATATTATTGAATTAAATGTATGATTTCGAATCTTGTTCAGACATATTTCAGGGACTTATTCCTAAAAATTACAGCCTACAGTAAAAAAAAAACTACATATTTCCATGCAAAATAATGGTACTGCTTTCAGCACCAAAAATATGAAATAATCAGACCGCCAGGGAGGTTAATATCCTGAAAGTGGGCGGTGCATAAAATAAGTATAAAGAAAAAACAATTACAGAAAATGCAAAAAGACACACAATTGGCTATTGACTATAAAATAAAAGGGAATAAAAACAGATCACACTTTTACCAAGAGTTATCCTGTGACTGGAGCAAGTCAGAGAGTCTGCGATTCGCCAGTCCATAGAACCAGCTCTGTATGAATCACACTGTCCATATCTCAGGTCCTCATTTTATGGGAATGTGGACGTAGGCTGGACATTAGCCCTTGGCTAATCAACTCTGGGGGGTGTTCCTGTATCAGCCCACAGGACTTTCTAGGTACTGAAGTGCCCAAAGTTGATTGGACCAGGAATGGTTTGAATCACTAAGTCAGGGATAGATTTTCCGACACCAGCGCATCACTCCGATCGCGCGCGACAGTACCAATCGCTGTTCAGCTGTCGCAATCAGGCGCCATATAACCATTTTCTGCATTTCCCTGGGATTCTACAGAGGTGTCAGGAACCACCTGGTAGTGTCTCTAGCAGCCCACAGCACGGATTTCCTCAGGGCGCGGGGTCTAAGTCCCAGCCTGCTATTCACCAGGGCCCCTGATGGTGAGGATGGACTTGGTGCAGACTGGAACCAGGTCGCGACCCCCCGATTGCGTCCGGCTGTGGTAGAGTGCACTGGCAGGGGACTGCGGGAATGGATTCTGATGGGAAGAGGCAGGCAGTCTTACTAATAGTGATCCATGCGGGATGGATGGATGGATCGTCTGGGTGGCTGGAAGCGTAGTCAGGTGGGCTAGGTCAGCAACGTGCGGGCAGCGAGGTATCGGAGGAGAAGGCAGAGAATGGTCGAGGTCACAAGCCGGGTTCAGTAACTAGCGGACAGCACGGTACAAGGGGTCAGTTGGATGGTCAGGCAAGCTGAGGGTTAAGCAGGATACACTCAGGGTCAGGTACAATGCAGAGGTCGGCAACGGAGTAACACAGGATCAGGTACAGGAACAAAAGACCAAACAGCAATTTGACATACCTCTATCCCCGTTTAAATAGTCCGCCCTGTGCTGTCATTTGTGCCAGGCGCGCATCCGTGATCGTGAGTGCGCATGCGCGGCCATCGCGATCACCGGGGGCCCGCTGATTGGAATGCATCCGTGTCCTGCGCATGCGCCGCCCGCGGCAGGGACACCGATCCCTGACAAGGGGCTACAAATAGTTTTACATGCAGATGTAGCCTACAGTGTGTCCAATCAGAAGGAAGTATTTTCATCTCTCTGCAACTAATATTTTAGCTTTTATAAGAGCTGAAATATATTCCTTTGATCTGCTGATATAGGTCAAAGCTCCTAGACACATCGGAGCCCTCTCTTGGTCTCTTGCTGCTTCCAAAGCCAGAAAAGTCTGACTACGTAGGTGACAAGTCTTATAGGCATCCAGGTGTCACCTCCAGTCTAGAAGCTGCTCTGTCCTTTTCATATGCTAATTGGTGATCATATGTCTCTGGCTGAATTCTGAATACATCTTTAACCACTTGAGCTCCTGAGGATTTACCCCCCTTAATGACCAGGCCTTTTTTTGCTGTTTGGCGCTGCACTAATTCAAATGATAATTGCACGGTCATGCAATGCTGTACCCAAACAAAATTTACGTCCTCTTTTTTTCACACAAATAGAGCTTTCTTTTGGTGGTATTTTATCACCTGTGCGGTTTTTTTGGGGTTTTTTTTTTTGCGCTATAAACAAAAAAACCACAAAAACTTTGAAAAACAATATTTTCTACTTTCAGCTATAAAAAATATATCGCAAACTCAGTTAGTCATAAATTTAAGCCAAAATGTATTCTGCTCCATGTTTTTGGTAAAAAAAAATCCCAATAAGTGCATATTGATTGCTTTGTGTGATAGTTATAGCGTCTACAATCTATGGTATAGATACTGTAATTTATGGCTTTTTTTGCTATACAGCGCTGCACTAATTCAAATAATTGCGCGCGGTCATGCAATGCTGTACCCAAACAAAATTTACGTCCCTTTTTTTCACACAAATAGAGCTTTCTTTTGGTGGTATTTTATCACCTGTGCGCTTTTTTTTTTTTTTTTGCGCTATAAACAAAAAAAAACAAAAACTTTGAAAAAAAACAATATTTTCTACTTTCAGCTATAAAAAATATATTGCAAACTCAAAGTTAGTCATAAATTTAAGCCAAAATGTATTCTGCTACATGTTTTTGGTAAAAAAAAATCCTGTGCATTAGCGGGCAAACTGGCGCTATCTGGGAGGGGCGCTAACACTATCGGAAGTCACCAGCGACACTGATACAGTGATCAGTAAAAATCCGTTCACTGTAATCAATGACACTGGTGACAGGGCAGTAAAGGGGTTAACTGGGGGGGGCGATCAAGGGGTTAAATTGGATTACTGGTGTACTGGTGGGCAATCTGGCGCTATCTGGGAGGGGCGCTAACACTATCGGAAGTCGCCAGCGACACTGTCAGTGATCAGTAAAAATCTGTTCACTGATCAATGACACTGGTGACAGGGCAGTGAAGGGGTTAACTGGGGGGGGGCGATCAAGGGGTTAAAAATTACTGGTGTACTGGCGGGATCAATGGCGCTACACTGGGAGGGGCGCTAACACTATCGGAAGTCGCCAGCGACACTGATACAGTGATCAGTAAAAATCTGTTTAATCAATGACACTGGTGACAGGGCAGTGAAGGGGTTAACTCGGGGGCGGGGGGGGCACGATCAAGGGGTTAGACGGGATTACTGGTGTATTAGCGGGCAATCTGGCGCTATCTGGGAGGGGCGCTAACACTATCGGAAGTCGCCAGCGACACTGATACAGTGATCAGTAAAAATCGGTTCACTGATCAGTGACACTGGTGAAAGAGCAGTGAAGGGGTTAACTGGGGGGGGGGGCGATCAGGGGGTTAAATGTGTCCTAGGTGTGTTTTAACTGTAAATGTGTAGTGTGTTACTCACTTTTACTGTTTCTTCTTCTTTGTCTGGAACGGAATGTGTCCAGGCAGAGAAGAATGACATCATATCCTGTCCTATGTAACTGTCAACACAGGACAGGATAGGACAGGGACCGATCATCTGATTTCAGCCAGACATCACTGGACTATCGACTATGGATTCGGAGAGCTTCGCAAGTTAGACGTGACTAGCTATGTCATTAGTCTTGACGCCCCTGACCGCCAGCAGCGCACGGTTCACATCAACATGTTGAAAGAGTACCATGACCGGACTCTGCCCGTGCTAGCCGTCTGCCCCGCCTCCACAGGCAAAGCGGATGAGGGAGCCCTGCCCGACCTCTTATAAGCCACCAAGGTCACCTCCCCCCTAGATCAGATCCCCACGAAATCCTCGTTAAAATTAAACCTCAAAAGAGCTCATGCTGGTTTACATTTCCATTCGATAAGTTTTTTTTGCCCACTTAAGGATGAAGATTTCTGGGAGTAGTGTTTAAAATAGCCGCACTGACACTGTCGGCAGGACTTTATTTCAGGTACTTATATAGCGCCGTCAATTTACATATATATTGTACATTCACATCAGTCCCCACACCCCGAGGGGTGTACAATCTAAGGTTCCTAACTCACATTCGTACATACACATACTAGGGCCAATTTAGACAGGATCCAATTCACCTCCCAGCATGTCTTTGGAGCGTGGGAGGAAACCAGAATACCCTGAGGAACCCCACACAGGCACAGGGAGAACATGCAAACTCCAGGCAGGTGGTGCCGTGGTTGGGATTTGAACCGACGACCCGAGTACTGCCAGGCAAAAGTACTAACCATTTAGCCACTGTGCTGCTCAATGATGTCTAGGGTGCCCCTCTCCTGACTTGTTTCATCGTGTGATCTGGGACTTAATCAGTTAAACTTGATGCCAACATCAAGATATGTACTCACCCAATTGTCAAGTGACGGTATCATTTTTGCCTAGGCTCAAAATGTAGAGGCCCAAATCAAATATATACAAATACAAAGTATTCTTGGAGCCATTTTTCCGAAGCCCAATAACAAAGCCAGATTCCCCCCCAAAAAATATCCCACAAACGTTGAAGTTTCAAAGTCCAGAAAAATGAATCCCCAGGGGCAAATCATTTTAAAGTGCCCCCTCCCACAAAAATGAGCCTAATGATTTTGCCATTGCATGTAAACATGGGGCCAATACCTAGACTGCTTGAGTTTGGCACATCACATGACTAGCAGGAATATCTGTTATTTAGCCAGACATATCCACCTAGAATCTCTGGATTAAGCACCCCGGTTACATCGGGTGCCATTTGGCATGCAATTTGAATTCCAGGCAACTTGCAAATTGTATGCCAAGTCCCCACCCTATTGTCCACAATTAGAGCCATCAACTCGGTGCGGTTCCGACTTGGTCGGAGCCGCACCGATTTCTAAAGTAGTACATACACTACTTATCATGCGATTGCATAGACATCTGTGTCACTTGAAATTGCCATGTCCCCCAACTTTAAAATCGTGCAAATTCACTGTAAGTCGTACGATTTCAAAGTCGGAGGACCCTCCGATTTCAGGTGCGATTTGCGAGAAATCTTCTTATACACCTACTTTTTGGTGCGATTTGCGTAGACATCTGTATGTACTACTGTTGAAATCTGTGCGGCTCCGACCAAGTTGGAACTGCATCGATATGACCACTCCTATTTGACACAATAGGGTGCCAGTCGCAGGGCATGCAAATCACATGCCAAGTCGCATCCAGTGTGAACCAGCCCTAAAGGAGTTTTGCTCTGTATCTCTTCATATCATCAGTTATCACCAATTATTTTGGATGCACCTCTGCCACCCCCCTCTGCCTCTCCCTCCACTGGCTCCCGATTGCCCAACGCATCAAATTCAAAACTACTCACTCTGACCTACAAAGCCATTCACAACACTGCCCCTAACTACCTCACCAACCTGATTCCCAGGTACCACCCTACCCGTACCCTTCGCTCTTCACAGGACCTCCTTCTATCTTGCCCCCTGGTCTCCTCCCTCCCACGCACGTCTGCAAGACTTCTCCAGGTCCTCCCCCATCCTCTGGAACTCACTACCCCAATCCATCAGACTGTCACCTACCCTCCTCACCTTCAGGTGCTCCCTGAAAACCCACCTCTTCAGGGAAGCCAACCCCACCCTCACCTAACAGTCGCTCTCTCTCCTACCACTCCCCCACAGCCACTTCCTCCTGTACCACTACCCCCTCCCTCCTAGATTGTAAGCTCGAAAGAGTAGGGCCCTCTACCCCTCGTGTGCTGTTTGTTGCTGTATTGTTTCATGTATTGTCCCCCCCCCCCCCCCCCCCCCCCCCCTCTATTGTACAGCGCTGAGCAAACCCTTTGGCGCTATATAAACTTCGATGTAATGTAATAATGCATTTGTCTGGCTTTGGAAATGTTTTGGGGAACATTTTATATTGGATTAGACCCATTATTTGCCCTGGGTGACCCTTTTTTAACCTATTGAATCATTTTCGGAATGTTGCCTTACCGACAAAATGTTGTATCTTTTGCTTTTGATGTTTGAAGCCCATGATCAAAATGGCTTCAGTAGCTTACGGGAATAATGGAGCCATCCTCACACATCTGCCTCCTTGTTTGGCAGGAAAGGTGGTCCCTCATTCTTGTGGCCCCTGCCCCTTACCATGCCTCTTTCGAATCCCTAACGGTCTCCTGGGCTGTGGCTGCCAGTGTCCTATTTGTCTGGACAAGCAGGAGTGAAAAACATACCAATGAGCAATCCCTCAAAGCTTGGTCACAAATGTGGGATCATACATACAGCCTAACTAGTATCTGTTGCTAATCTTCAGCTTGAACTCTATTTGCAGATCATCTTGGCCCCTTGGACGCCCCAGCTGTTAGAGTGGGAGAAGAATCTGAATCTGTTGGGGTATGTGAACTGGGGTGTAACAGGGTGGGGATGTAAAAGCACATGTTGCATATGTATTTTGACAATGTCATGCATTTTTTTTTTTTTTTTTTTTTGTGCAGGGAAGTTCAGGCACTCCCAAATGTTTGCGCCATGCCTTCGCCTCCACCTGAGTTGCCTGAACTTAGGTAAGAGACACTAAAGATGATAATGATGCCTCACCCATTTAGAGTTTAACTCCGTTCCTGCCTGGCCAGGATTTTGCAGCTTGACTTGGAACATTTTCGGAGCATTGCTTATTCGGGAGCTGGAGGGGGAGTGATGTGCATGTGACAACTTGGTATTTTAGCATTCCACTTTGACTAAATCCAAATCAGATCACATTTCAGAGCAGGAAGGTATCAGTCTGGGCAAAGACGCTCAATCATTCAGTTCTGTCAAATGCTCATCCAGTGTAATGTGTCAGGGAAAGGCATTCTCCAATAACTGGTCCTAGGGGTGGGATAGAACATGATCTAGTGTTTGGTGTCAGATGAGCCCCCGTCCTACTGTAGGCTTCTGCTGTGTGTCAAACACTCTTTGATGGGTTTTTTTTTTCTTCTCCTTGCAGCCAACATTGGATGCAGCTGGATCGGCACCCCGGCTGCCTGGACCCAGCCCCCTTCTCGATCTTTGGGAAAGGCTGTTGTTCAACATGGAGAGATTATGGAAGCAAAGGAGGCTAATGAGCAAAGTAATGTAGAAAGGTTACTGGGGCTCCAACATGAAACCATGCTTGAACTTGTCAGGGAGCAGAATACAGGGTTCCGGAACCTTAGCCAGGATTTTGGCAACCTTAGCCATGATATCCGGGCCTTATGTCAAGTAGTGGCAGAACAAAATGCACCTTCGGCCAGATCCTCCAACACGTGTAGTAGTTGTTTGGGGCCAATGCCAAGGTTGCCACAGAGTTACCCTGCTGAAAGTGCTGGGGAATCAGCAGGGGAACATGCCTGTGAGGTGCCGATTCTGGAACCACCCACTCCGGAGCAGCCCCCTCCAGAAACCCCACCCCAAGACCATTATGCCTCTTTCCCCATGGATCCCTCTTCTGCACCTTCCTCACACTCCACTGTGTCCCTTGAACACACCCCCACTTTCACAACCCCTCCCCTTGTTCCTATATGCCACTCCTCTCAATCCCATTTCCACCCTTACCTTCCATGTCCTGCCCACTCTCCCCAACCCTAACACACACCCCCTCCGCAGCAGCAGCAGCCTCCTCCTCCCCATTAACCACTTGCCGCCCAGCCACTGTAGATATACGGCGGCAGGGCGGCACTGGCAGGCAAAAACCACGTTTTAAAACGTGTGTTTTGTAAACAAATAGGGGGGCGCGCGCCCGCCCTATCTGTCCCGCCGATCACCGCCACAGATGTCAGTCGCCGGGTCACAGCCGGTCCTTACCGGCTATCTCCCGGCGATCGGTGGGAAGCAGTGACAGACAGCACAGCTGCAGTAGCTGTGCTATCTGTCACTTCCCTGTCAGCTCAAGGATGAGCTGATCGAGAGAACAGTTTTCTCTTTCTTGATCAGCCTTGTCCCGCCCAGTACACACCCCGCCCCGCCCCCTAGTAAAACACTCCCCTCACTCCTATAGCCCTTCCCTGCAAAATAAAGTTAGCCCCTTCCTCCCCAGTGCCATTAGTACAGTGTCAGTGTTTTTTTTTTTTTTTTTTTTTTGCACTGATCACTGTATTGGTGTTTTTGGGGAAGTCAGTACCCCCCAATGTCAGAATGTCCGCCGCAGTCCCGCCATAAGTTGCTGATCACCGCCATAATTCGCTGATCGCCGCCATTATTAGTGTAAAAAACCCCCTAAAAATCCCAGTATCTTTCCCGCCATTTGTAAACGCTATAACTCACGTAAACCAATTAATTTTTTTTTTAGCAAAGACATGTCGCAGAATGTGTTTTGGCAGAAATTTATGACTAAATTTGATTTTTGCATTTTTTTTTACTGGACATGTTTTATAGCAAAAAGTCCAAAATATTGTTTTTTTTTCTCAAAATTGTCAGCCTTTTCTTTTATAGCGCAAAAAATAAAAACCACACAGGCAATAAAATACCACCAAAAGAAAGCTCAATTTGTGGGAAAAAAAACTATGTAAATTTCATTTATGTACCGTATTGCATGACCGCGCAATTGTCCGTTAAACTAGCGCAGCGCTGTATAGCAGAAAAATGGTGTAAATTGCAGTATCTATCCCATAGTTTGTAGACGCTATAACTGTCACACAAAGCAATCAATATACACTTATTGGGATTTTATTACCAAAAACATGGAGCAGAATACATTTTGGCCTAAATTTATAACCAACTTTGAGTTTACTATATATTTTTTATAGCTGAAAGTAAAAAATATTGTTTTTCAAAATTTTTAGTCTTTTTTTGTTTATAGCGTGAAAAATAAAAAGCGCACAGGTGATCAAATACCACCGAAAGAAATCTCTATTTGTGTGAAAAAAAGGACGTAAATTTTGTTTGGGTGCAGCATTGCATGACCGCGCAATTATCAGTTGAATTAGTGCAGCGCCGAGTAGCAAAAAGAGGTGTGGTCATTAAGGGGGGTAAATCCTCTGGAGGGGGAGGGGTTAACTTTGTACTATGTAATTCTGTAAATAAACATTTATATTGTGGCTGAACGTGTCTTTTTTGAATTGTCACAAATGCGTTTGGGGTAATATTGGTGGCTTGGTCATGCAGGGAATACAACACAGGTGCTTTTCTGAGTGTTGCTACCGATAATTCCAACTAGCAAACACTAAAAAAAAACTGCATTTCAGAAAGAAAACTAAAAGGTGACCCTTCCAGAGGCATTGGTGGTGAGACTCTTTGGCTTTTCTGCTGTTTTCACCTGGTGGTCTGTCCTGCAAATAGTCCTAGCTGTTCCCCATCACAAGTTCTCTGGCACATGTAGCGGTTGGCCATTATCTAACCATTTGGCTGCCCCAAGGGAGCTTAGAATTCTCAGTGGGCTCTGTGGGCAAGGCTAACGTTCCCCAATATGGGAACACACAATATTGCAGCTTGTTTTCTAAGTGTCTGCTAGCTTTTGTCTCTTTTGGGGTGCTGATTTTAGCAAAGACTCCTCTTGCGTGGAACACTCATCTCCCCAGAGACTGACACTGCTGTCCAAATACGTTCCCTGGGCTACTTCATTGACACACACTATACAAGAAGTGTGTAAATATCCAGGACACCAGGTGTGACACCAGGACACAACCAGGGGCAGACTGACAACTCATGGGGCCCCCGGGCAATAGGGGATCATGGGGCCCGTGTCCTTGCCCAAACTCAAAAAAGCCACCAGGGGCATCTCATGGGGTTCTCTACTGACCCCGGGCAGTGCCCAGGTTTCCAAATGGTCAGTCCGCCCCTGGTCACAACTTACACACAGCCTGCCAAGGAATGCTCGAGACACAGAAACGTTGGGAGAATAAGACAAAGGCCTTCTGTTGTTTGGACTATCATTCTGCTGGACTAACTGGACCCAGACTAGGTTGCTGTACACACCGTGTCACATCTTACCCCGAGATTGGTTGGGGAGCATAGGATCTTTAGCTGCCTGATTCTAGACGTGTGCGCCTATGGAATTTATGTGCCCAGTGGACACTTGTTCCTCACTTCAATCCATTGCACCCTCCCTACCCCCCACCTCCTGTTACCAAAACACTGACATGTGAATGAGCAACAAGTTGGATCCAAGTGGTATGTGTGGAGCAGATAGACAATTTGCCCATTAGGGCCCCTTCTTTTCTGGGGGACATTGCATGTAACTGGTCTCATCCATAACTGATAGTCCTTCCAAGAGCAGCATTCAAGTCATATGACTTCTGTGGAATGCCAATCCCAACCAGAGATGAGGTGATGGGAGACATCTTGACAGAGTTGGGCCACAGGATCCCCCCACATTGTCTACTTGGCTGCACCCCCTTTTGGCAGTCTGCACAACTACACCCCACCAAGCTATGTAGAAGTCCCTGGATGGAATGAAGAGCTACTCCAAACGTGAACAATGTAACGTGAATGGAGTGTTCTGTGTAAACTGTTGCAGCATTTCACAAGAGGAAGCAAACCAAGATTGGGAGTAGCTGCAGACAGCAAGCAGACAACTTCAATCTTTATGTATCCCAGCTTAGGATGGAAGGAGCTGGTTTACCTCTCGGAAACATGCAATCCTATCTGCTACAGTCCTAAAGCTGGACTTGCCAGCAAAGACTAAGGCTGGCCATACACTATACAATTTTCTGTCCAATTTCCTTTAGATTTACCTTCAACTATGTAATGCAAGAGCCGGCCTAATTGGATACAATTGAAAGTGTTGTTTAGGTTTGACCTCATATTATATAGTTTTTGGTAAATCTAAAGCAAATTTCTCAAGAAAATTGTATAATGTATGGCCAGCCTTAGGTTGGCCATACACTATACAATTTTCTGTCCAATTTGCTTTAGATTTACCTTCAAACTTGTAGTGCACGAGCCGGCCTAATTGGATACAATTTGAAAGCTTTGTTAGGTTTGAACTCCTATTATTATATGGTTTTTGGTAAATCTAAACCAAAAATCTCAAGAAAATTGTATAAACGCCTTCAATTGTATCCAATTAGGCGCTACATAGTTGAAGGTAAATCTAAAGGAAATTGGACAGAAAATTGTATAGTGTATGTTCAGCCTTATGTAGGCAATAGACGGGGAGAAAAACCGTCCAGTTTTTTTTTTTTTTTTTTTTTTTTTTAGAAAAATGAAAAATCGGTCGTTCAATCAGCCAACGTTACCACCATTGGTAAAAAAAAAAGTCGGCTGATTTTTGTCCCGTCTACGGCCAGCAATTATATAGAATAAGCAGAAGAAGAAATAGAATATGAAGAAGTAGAAGAAATAGAATATGAAGAAGTAGAAGAAATAGAAAATGAAGAAGTAGAAGAAATAGAATATGAAGGAGAAATAGAATATGATGAAGAAAAAGTTGCAACATTGTATCTATTTGTATCCATTTCGGATACAGATGTTTCTATTTGGATACAAATAGATACAATGTTGCTATACTTTTATATGTCAAATATAATATCGGACTGAAATTCTTTTTTTTTCCTCTTCATATTCTATTTCTTCTTTCTTCTTCATATTCTGTTTCTTCTTTTTCTTATTATTCATATTCTATTTATTCTACTTCTTCTTTATATTCTTTTCATTCATATTCTTTTTTTCCTTTTCTTTTCCTCCTTCTTTCATGTCACTGCGCATTTTTTTAAATCGGAAAAAGATCGGCAAATTTGTCCATCATTGCTGCAAAAATCGTCAAAATTGGCAGATTATTTTCCAGCAGTGCCGATAATCCAAAAGGTCAAAAATCGGCCGACTGATTACCGCACTAACGATCCAAAAATCAGCCGATTTTTTTTTTTTTTTTTTTTTTTTTTTTTTTTTTTTTTTTTCTCCTCGGCTGATTTTCAACCGTTTTTCATCCCATCTATGACCAGCATTAGGCTGGCCATACATTATACAATTATCTGGAGATTTTTGATTTAAATTGACCAAAAACCATATAATAGGAGGACAAACCTAAACAACACTTTCAGTTCTATCCAATCAGGCAGCCCTTGCACTACACAGTTGAAGGTAAATCTACAGGAAATTGGGCAGAAAATTGGAAGATAATTGTATAATGTATGGCCAGCCTTAGGCTATGTTTACACTAGCCTTGTTAGCAAGCAGCAGACAGGTGTTTGGGAAGCGTTTTTACTGGAAAATTCTGCACATTGCAGGACATAGTGCTGTTCAAACGGGAGCGTCGCGTTGCATCACGTCGAGGCAAAACGGACGCCTCTGGTCGAGTCAGGAGGAGTTGAAGCCTCCTATTCAAGTCTATGGTGCCCGGTCGGCGTTTGCGGAGCGTTAACACCATTCAAACTTCATTATAGGCATTTGTGGGGCGTTTTTAACTCTTGGCAAATGCCTAGCAACCTCCGCTAAACCGCGCATGCAACATTTGCGCAACACCGGACCACCGCTTGTCAAACGCTATAGGGGCGTTTGGCAAGAGTTGGAAAAACAGTCAAGTGTGAACGAGCCCTTAGGCTGGCCATACCCTATACAATTTTCTGTCAATTTCTGCCCAATTTCCTTTACATTTACCTTCCACTATGTAGTACAAGAGCAGGCCTTATTGGAAACAATTGAAAGTGTGATTTTAGGTTTGACCTCATATATGTTTTTTGATAAATCTAAAGCAACATTCTCAAGAAAAGTTGTATAATGTTTAGACATTAACAAAAAGTCAAGGTAAGCAAGATTGGCTGGAGTTAGCCGAGTCCTGCAATGCTTCAGGGACATGCAGATCAGCTCCAACTGCAATGAAGAAGATTGCCGACCTGCAAAGGCCAAAGAAGGCCACAACACAGTGCCCTGTCAAATATAACATTCATTTCTAAAAATATAAAAACATCTTAAAATAAAAAAAAAAAAAACCTAAAACTGTTGCTTGAAGTAGGCCACAATGCCAGGCTGGTCCTCTGCCGGATCCACCCCCATTTCTTGTTCCAGGGCCTGGATGTGCCGGCCAACCCAGCCCATGAGGCCATGTATGGCTGGCTTTTTCTACAGCGTTCAACGATTCAAACAAAATTTATTAGCTGCAATAAAAAGAGACACTTGCTTCCAAAACCAACAACAGCATGCAATACTTGTCTAACTGTCCATGATCCTGAAAGCACTCTATGCTGTTGTCACCTCATAACTGGAACACAGAACTTACATTTCTTGCCTGGGAGGATTTCATGGACCAGGGAGTGAGCTTGGAATCCTTAGGCCTAGATTAAAGTGTTTGCTTTCTGACTACAAATATATCTGTGGGCAACGGTGAAAAGGGCAATCTCATCAGTAAAGACAACAGATGACGTTGGCACACCGATCTCCTCCACAGAGTTCCCAAAGACATCTATTCTAGCTTTCTATTAGCTGCAGGGAGGGGATCCCTACTCACATTATACACAGCCAGAGCACAGAGCTGAGCAAACCATGTGAGCCTATTGGAGGCTAGTGGCCCAACTCCCTCCACACAGGTCCAGAGATTCCTATAGAGCTGGCAGTGTGAGTAACCAGGTGTGTCCTTGAAGGGAGGTGGTCCATCTCCCAGGAAGCTGAGGTGTCAGCTGCATATATTAGGAGTAATTCTTTAAGATGGTGGAGAGACCAGAGTGGAACCAACACTTGGGAAGCAGGTTAGTGCTCACTATTGTGTCATATTCTTTGTTTATTATCCTTTCTTAATTTGAAGAACACTTTAATGTATGCCTATGTAGACAAACTCAGCTGTCAGGTCTAAGTGTGAAGATTGAGTCCATATCTGATGTGTTTAGGGTGCATTTTTCAGTTCTTTGGGGGAGCCATCCTAAACACAGGATGAGGCCAACCAATCTAGACTAGTAAGGGGGAGGTGAAGCCTTCTACATACGTTACATGTGCAGATGTGTAAACAGTTGAAAAACTGACCTTGACGGATGTTGGCCTCTGCATCCAGAGGTGGCTGGCGCTCCCCCATTGCAGGCAGGGCATGCTGAGGTAAAACTGTGAACAGTAAAAAAGGAGCAAGTAAAGATACAAGCCCTGACATTTGAGAAACACATGGATGTTAAACAGTCACATAGTACAGGCCCCAGGTAGTTAGCCCTAGCCAACATAGCAAAGTCTTCTTTTGGTTTGGGTTACTAAACTAGATGACCAGAACCAGTAGGGCTTAAGGTCAAATTTGTTTGGCCACTTGTTGGCACCCACACTCCAGCAAACTGCTCATATCCTACAATGCTAACATACTCTGGCTGTCCATTGACAATGTTTCACATCACCTTAGGACCTACCCATGTGTCACAGCTGCCAGCCATGATAAGAAACAGTCTTCCTTGGCAGTGGTGTGGTGTCAGCATTCCAATGTTGGAGAGCCTTGCTCTTGACGAGGAATTGGCTCACACACTTCAGCTTAGCTACGCTTAGTAAGAGTGGAAACACTAATTGACCAGCCCTTGCAGCCATTCCCACTTTCCTTCCTGGGGTCTACAGTATAGTGACTTCAAGCATCCCAAAGCAAAGGCCACAGGTTGGCAGCAGATCTGAGGCTTCACAAGAAGATGTCACAAGGTCTAAGCCTCTTTCAGTCTAGCTGCAAAAGGGCTCAGTCTATACAATATCCCCCTCCCCTATGCAAAAACACAAATGCCCCCTCGAGTGTAAACACATGCACACTGCAAGGTGCCATTTTGACTTTTTGAGCAGATTATGAAGCAAAACAAAAGTCTTGGGCCAGCCATCCCAGCCTTTCCCCACCACACCTCATGTGGCATCCCTACACATAAATACTGTCCAAAAGCAAATATTGTAAGATGGGGCAGAGGTTTCACATCCTCCTAGAGCAGAAAGAAAACTCCTCCAACAAACTTTAAACAGTGCTTTGCTGAAGTCACAAGACTGCTCTATCTGCTGATGAGAAAAGGTATTTAGCACCTTTAATGGAC